CTTTGATCTTGTGAAAGTTTCTGTTGACAATAGTGATGGGAAGTCCTGAGTAACTGTTGTATACTTTGTTTTCCACGTTGGTCGAGGTCCGATGCAATTGCCTTTCAGGGAATGGACGTTATTCTGCGGAATTTCTTTGGGGGGTGGACGCAACGCCTCAGCGAGGTCCGGGATCCCAGAGAGACTAGATAAGCTGGAGATCAGTGACAGCGTGAAGAAAGTATCTTTTTGCTATAGTGTTGGGGAGTGCTCTGGTTTCGTGTCGCGTGTTGCTGTGCAGTCTGGAGCATTTCCGACGCAACGGTCGCTCAGGGATGGGAAGTCATTCTGTGGAACTTCATTGTGCGGGTGGACATAAGGCCTCAGCGAGGCATGGAAGCCAAAAGGAATAATTCAGCTTTAGATCTTTGATATTCAGCTTTAGATCTTTGACATTCGTACCGGGGAGTGCTTTGTTTATTTTGTTTGTTGAGCCAGGTCCGATGCAATTACCTCTCAGGGAATAGACGTCTTTCTGCGGAATTTCTCGGAGGGGCGGACGCAACGTCTCAGCGAGGCACGGGATCCCGAAGACGACGCACAAGCTTCAGATCTATAATATCATGAAAACTTCTTTTCGCAGTAGTCCTGGGGAGTCTTCTGCTGCTCTGTTATGGTTTTGGCATGTTGGACAAGGTTTATGGGGAGTGGATGCAACGTCTCAGCTCGGTCCGGGATCCCAAAAAGAAGAAATATATATCGCTCGCAAGATCGACCAGAAGGAATCTCGTTCTTTGTCACACGCCTCTCAGTCTTCAGTCGAGGTGGGACACAAGTACCTCTCGAAGAATGGACGTGGTTCTGCGCAAGTGCTTTGGGGGGTGAACGCCGTGCTACCGAGCTCACAGGGACGTGAGAGAGGTTCAAAGCTTGCTCGGCGAAAGGTCAGCAGCGCATGCGTTGTTCACTTGTTTCTTTCTTGGACATCCGAAGAACACTGTGTGATTTTCACAACAGAAGACGTAGCCTGCAGTCACGCATGACGGTTCAAGCTGATCCTCTGGCCTAGCCACGCGACCGTTGCAGGCGCTGTTCAGTTGTTTCTTACTTGCACATCAGAAGAACGCTGTGTGATATTCATAACAGAAGACATAGCCTGGAGTCATGCATGATGGTTCAAGCTAACCCTCTGGCCTAGCCACGCGACCGTCGCAAGAGCGACATAGGTCTCGCGCAGGCTCGGATATGTTTTCGATGCTTCGATCTTTGCTGTGGAATTGATGAAGCTACACCTCGAACATAGTTCTTTGATTTTCTCTTAGTCTCGCATTGCGATGCGCAATGTCGGCGCCCTGAAGTAGGTCTGGGACAAACTCAACAACACGTGCCTGTGACAACAGGCAGTGGAAGCCAGCTTGCTGGCTGCCATTGTCAGATGGAAAGCCAGCACGCTGGCTACCATCATAGTTGAGGTGGGTAAGCCAGCACGCTGGCTGCCATTGTTGAGATGGCAAAGCCA